AGACCAGTTCAATTAAGGCCTACACGGCAGCTGTTGTTGACTCTTATTTTATTCGGCGCATCTGGTGCTTGACATTTGAGAACACAAAAATCACAAGGAGTCAGGTTTGAACTGTAGGGTATTTGACCAACCTCCTGGATGCGTGCTCTATCCAGAAAATTGCCGATGACCTGTCACCTGTGTGCGTGTTGTTATGGTGCAGCAAGGTCCATCGTGCTCAAGACCTTGGCCGACCTAGGACCACAAACATTATTGTTTGCAGACGAATTTAAAATCTGGAAGACAGTGACAGAAAGTGAGGGTTCGCTGGAACTCCAAGAAACACTGAGTGCAGCTCACAAATGGTCTATTGAGAACAAAATCCAATTTAACGTCTCCAAATGCAAGGTGATTTCGCCACGCCACCATGGGCGGTTTCATTATTTCCTCGGAAACGAATTACTGCTTCGTGCATCAACAGAGAACTTGGGTTTTATAGTCCACGAAACCCTAAGGTGTTCCATCAACTGTGCCAGAGTGTCATCAACAGCACTCAAACATGCTGGTCTACTTAAACGTGTTTTTGGTCGTTTTGAACCATCTTTATTCTCACGTCTGCTGTCAGGATACACCCGGCCGCATGTTGAGTATGCCATTATTATTATTATTATTATTATTATTATTATTATTATTATTATTATTATTATTATTATTATATTCCACACTTGTCTGAGGACAGACTGTGTGCCGAACAAATCATGGTACAATAATCTTCATAAAATGGAAATGTTCCATGATTGGCTTGTGGATTGAGTACTGCCAGGTTGCCCAGTCCAAGGCAGTTGAGTATGCCATCTGAACCTGGAATCCACGGTTACGTGATCATAAAATTTTGGAGCGTCCACAAGGGGAGACTGCAGTCATTGGGTCTATGCTTTGCTCAGTGTCGTCAATTTCGAGGAGACTTGATGTTAGTGTACCAAATATTACATATTACCCGGACCATCCTTGTCGCCCACTCTCGACGTTTTCATCAAATGTTCATTTACGGGGACATCCATTCAAGTTAATACTCCAAAAATCTCGACTAGACTGTCGACGTCATTCCTTCGCCGTCAGAGTGTGCACTGCCTGGAATTCCTTA